ACAGGTTGGTGGCTGCAGAACCCAGGAGATGGCTGGCAAGGGGCCCACAAGATGACAGCTGTAGGGCCAGCAAGATGGTGGTTGCTGAGTCCATGAGATAGCAGCCAAGGGACCCAAGAGATGGTGATTGTGGGGCCCATGAGATGGTGGGGTTTGGAGGCCTATGAGATGGCAGCAGTGGGGCCCATGAAATGGCAGCCATGGGACACACAAATGATGATGGCATGGGGCTGACAAGAGGGTTGCTGCATAGCCTACAAGATGGTGGCTGGAGAGCCAAGGAGATGGTGGCCATGGAGCCCACGAGATGGCGGCTGTGGGGAACACAAGATATTGGCTGCAGAGCCGACAAGATCATGGCCATGGGGCCCACGAGAGGGTGGCTGTGGGGCCTGTGAGATGGCAGCTGTGGGGAACACAAGACAGTGGCTGCAGAAGCTATGAGATGGTGGCCACAGGGGAAATCAGATGGCGACCACGGGGCTCACAGGGTGGCAGCTACAGGGCATATGAGATGGTGACTGCAGAGCCCACAGAATGGCCATTGTTAGGGTTGGAGTTGAAAAATTTCAGAGTGCTCCTGGTGATGTCCCTGGCGAACCTGAGGGCTGTGTGAGGACCTGCCGAGCTGGGCTGCTGTGTCCTGGTGAGCTGCAGCCACAGCACTAATTGACATGTTCAATCTAATGAATATTCATTAGAAAAAAAAAATTAAATGAACCGTTTTGCTCCATTCTTGATGCTCAGTGAGACAACTGCCGGGGTAGCTTTGCAGAGGCTGCTCGCACTGGGAGAGTATTATTTATTAGCCTGTCATTACAGTTTCTTTCACACTTTTATAGCTTTCACATTGTGAATGTGCAGACAAATTAACGCCCTGGCTTGCTGAGGCACGCTGGAAATTTTGACATGTACATCAGGTGGTGGGAGCGTATCAATCAGCTGCGCACTGCTGGCGCCGGTCTGCTTTCCGTCTGCTTGTGCCTTGAGTAGTGGGTAGAAAATATTTTCTAGAAAAAAGTATCAAAATTCCCATATTTGACTGATTTTGAGCATGAAATGAAGACTACAGTAGGGAATGATGTTTTTTTTCCATGCTTCTCTGAAGTTATTGTGTGGGATGCTTTACATATAAATAGGTTCATTTCACGATGTTCTTCCAGAAAGCTAATGTGCAGGTGGCACATTTAAATATCACATCATGACAAGGTCCTGCTCGCTCCTTGGGTGGGTAGTGTTAAACCCCAATGCACAGACCACCTGGTCCCCGCACACCCCCCTGGGTAAGGGAGGGTGAGGATTTCCACTTGCACTGCAGGTTTGGGTGCACCAGGAAACTTTTTTTCCCCCCAAAATAATTTGAAAACGTTATTGCTTTTTCGCTTTTAGAATATGCACTATTTGATGTACACGCTGGAAGTTGCCCAGTCCTGTGATTTTGTTGTTGTTTTTGTTTGTTTCCTCTTCCTGAAGATGGCCCACCAGGTGTCTGGTGGTTGGACAAGTATGGGCCCAAAGGCACCGGCAACCCCGGTGCAGGGTCTGGGGACACTGCAGGGGCAGCAGCGCTACCGGCATCAACTATGCACTAGAGGCAGGTGGACGACTGTGATCAACACGTGTGTTTGACCCTGCACTGGGCTGGTTATGCCAAGTGATTTTTGGTGTCAACGTTGCTGTTTTTAGCGCTTCCTGTGTTTGTGGACAGCTAGTTGCTGCTCGTCGCTGCTGCTGCTCCGTGCTGAGCGCTGCTGTTCCTGGAGCTGTTCCTGGGGCTGTTCCCGGTGCCAGCAGTGAGCCAGGGCCTTTGCCGGCTGTGCCACCACAGAGCGAGGTGCTGCCCGCCCAGGGCACAAGAGCCCCCCGGGGCCGCGAGTTTTGGGTGCGCGTCGGCTGCGGAGCATCAGCGCTGCATCGTGGCGTGTGCTCTGCTGCGGCTGTTGGAAGAACGATTTTCTCAGCATTGGGATGAGGAGAGTAATTTGGAAACAGGGAAATTCAGATAGTTCAGATGGATTACTGGAAAAGACATTTTTAAAGCAGTGTTAAAAATGTGGGAATTACAGGAAAATGCAGCTGTACATTAAGTACCTGAGGTGGGCTGTTAACCTGTACTCCAGCAGATCACGCTTCCCATCCCATCCGGGCTCAGCGCGCCGCGGCCGACGAGGGAAGAATCACTGTCTCACTCTTTACTCTTTTCTTTACAATTTTATTTACAAAATGTATTAAAACTCTTTGTACAACACCTCATTAAAATGAGGTTCAGTAATTGATGCCCACACATGCAGTTTATGCTTTTACAGCCATTAGTTTGCTTGGCAATTTTTTCTGCTCACTGAAGTGCAGTTTTAACGACCAAAACTAGGAACTTAAAAAAAGAAAAAAAAAGAAAAAAAAGAGTAAAAGGAAAGAACCCCCAAAAAACCAAAGCAAAACAAAGGATAAACTTAATCCAAACAAATCCTCGAATGACTACTGCTGAACTTCCAACAGCTCGAAGTTGGTAGCCAGAATTTGTAAGCAATCAACACGGTTTGTTTTGTTTCACATGCAAGTTTAAAAAATATCGAACCATTTACCAAACCCCCTTCACTGGTGTGAAGCCTCCACTCTTAAAAATTGATTTGATAAACATACATCTTTTTTATACAGCTTTAAGAAAATGTTTGTTTTTAATACAACTTACAACCGCACAGCTTTAGCTCTCCCTTGTTGGGGACATTATCGCATTCAGAAGTTGAAAAAAAAAATCACAGTTTCATGAAAAAAAACTCAAAAACAAAACAACATCTTTTTGTTTAATATCTTGTTATGAACTTGAACAATAAATTATTTTCCTATGAATTTTTAAAATGGTCTTATATTACATTTTGTTGGAAATTCTTATTTTTAACAAGACTTTTCCAATATAATCTTTTTCTTCTTTTTATCCTATTAAAAGTTCAAATCTATCATCAGTAATCTAAATGCCTAAGGGTCAAACTTTGCTTTAAATGAGTTTCTTTTGTTGTTGTTGTATGTTACTGATGAAATAAAACTCTATAGTAAACTACAGAAAATACATATTGTCATATTAGAGGTAATTAGTATGCAGATATTTCATTGAACATTGAACATGTGATTGACAATATGTTTAAGTTTTTTTTGTGTTTTTCTCTTTTTTTAAAGATGAAGTTAAGTAGTTTCCAGGCAGAGGTTCAAGGCTGACACACTGCTGCTCTCCAGGACGTGGGATGTGAGTAATAGCGAGAGCCTCCACCTGCAGCAACCCCCCTGGGAGCGCACGGCGTTCCAGGGACGGACACGAGGGTCCTCTGAGGAGCAGCCATGGAACAAGAATTGGCAGGAGCTGATATAATATAACAGTACTAGCAACAGTAATGTTAGATCGCTTAAGAATACTCTGGAACTGCAGATCTAATTTGAGTTACTATCCTCTTTCTTTATTTCTGTTTTAAAATGACAATTATAAAGAAGCATTAGCTGAGCACAGTGCTAGTTTGGAGAAAATTACTGTGAAGCAGGCCTGGGAAAGCTAACCTGCACTTCTCTTGCTCCATTGCTTGATATTAAACATTGAATTAAAATGCAAATGCACAGCAAGAAAAGAGATATATGGTCAGAACCTAAACAGCAATTAGGTTTTTTTTTTTTTTAAAGCCACCCAATGTCATTTTAATAAAGCACCTGTAGGTATGCCTGATGATAGAAAGAAAGAAATACAGTATTTTCTGCCTGCACTTTAACTACCTTGTCAAGAAAATTGATTTACTGATCTGGAAGCAAGACATGCAGTTCCACAAATTACTTTCTTTTGGATTTACAGATTCACAGTCATTGACCTTCACTGTTTGTAATGTACACATTCTTTTCTTCAGGTGTTAAACCTTTTACCGATACACATAATTGCTCAAATTAGCTGAAGAGTTTAAAGTGGCTTGAAAAAAAAAACCAAAAACAAAAATCACACCACCAGTAAGTAAATACCCAAAACATCTTGACATCAGATCATACAACTAGTGACAGGCCAGTCTGTGTTCGTTTGCAGCAGAAATCTGAGGCTTTATAACAGGAAAAGTTGAATAATTTGATACGATCGGGGATGTTTGATGAAACTGACTGTGGTTTGCTTTTGGAACACAAGTTCATATACTGTGCAGTGGTATCAAAGAATGGCTTTTGTTGTTCTGATTTTTATACAAGATTTTTTTTCCCATATGCTAGTATCTTTTCATCTTTTTTTTCCTTTTCTTTTTTTCTTTTTTGCTTTTCTCTTCTTTTCCTTTCTTTTCATTTTTCTTCCTTTCTTTCCTTTTTTTCTATTCCTTTCCTTCTTCTTTCTATTTCTTTTCTATTTTCTTATCTCCTTTTCCCTTCTTTTGTCTTTCAAGCAAAGCAAGAATATTTCAGTGATGGTTTGCATTGTTGTGAGTCTCAGAGTCTTCCATAAGGCACTGAAGGAAAAAAATCAGTTTTTCCTATTAAAAGTTCATTGCACCATCATCAATGCGTGTCATGCCTGACAACTTGGAGAGAATATGACGGGCTCAGGTGGTTTGAATCCATGAAGTAGCCACATTCTCTGCTGCTTCTCCTCTTGCATGCTGCCAGAAGTGAGGATCTACAATGAAAATACAGAGATTTTTTTTTTCCTCAGCGTGGGAGCCTTCTATTTGAAGATAATGAACCACTTTCAATAAGAAAAGAGTAAAAAGCACTAGCTGTCCAAAGCCTAAAAGCAGAACTACCTGGTGTCCGGCCTCTCTTCCCTTCTTTTTCAGCAGTGCCCAGAATGGGGTGCCCTTGAGCATCCCTGTAATGCAAATATTTATCCTGCTGACCCTAGCAAATACACTAGTTTTAAACAGGTTTTGCAAGTATCTAGTGAACTTCTTGGACAGTAACTTGCCGAAGTGGCCAAAAGTCCCAGGAAAGCTGCAGCGGAGCCTCCCGTCAGGAGGCAGCGCTGGGCGTCGGGACGCGCTCGTGTGGCCTCTGCTCCGGGCAGAGGACGCAGCTGGCAACTAACACCATTAACAAGGCTGTTTTTAGTGGTTTTGTTGTGCTTTAGAAATCACAACTTCTACTGTAGGAGTTTTTGGAGACTTTCTTAAAGCACTTACCTGGCTTGAATATAGCTTAAAAAAATAAATACAGCAGAAGGAGGTCACAAGTGAAAGGGCTGTGAACTCTGAGTTACAGCAATATTTATAGGAATTAATGAAATATTTTGATTCTGGGAAACACTGATATCAACCTTTGGAGACAGGAGTTATTCACAGAGTACAAAGCTCATCATCACTGTTTGCAGTATAGGCTGGCAGCAAGCTTACTTACTTCTATTCAGGAAAGAGATTTAAATAACTTATATGCTGCACAGTGTAGGAAAGAGAGAGCCACCAGACTATTTTTGAAAGCTATTTTACAGCTTTCCACTAATGCATATAACAAATATCACACACAGATTTAAAAAAAAAAACGAAAAAAAAGAAAAAAAAAGAAAAAGAAGTATTTTATTTCACTGGACCTTAATCGTACCCCTAGATTTTAACACTTTCTGTTCCATACACGTTGTAGCCTTCTCTGTACGTAGCGTAATTCTGGGCACTGGTTGTGGGAACAGGTTTAAAGTTTTGTGTGTTCTTGGAGAGTTTCATTCGCTTGGACTCTGCCCGCGACTTGTAACAGAACTCGATTAGGGCAACCATCATGGCGAGCCCAAGGCCTCCAACAAGAATATAGAAAACCCCAGCGACATTGCTCAGGCTCAGAGCGCTCGTCTTGTCCTAAGAGAAACGAACCACTCGATTAGTTTTGCAGTGAGAAGAAGACAGGTAGATAAGAGGTTACTTTGCAGTTAGTCCTAGCTGGAATAACTAAACATACATGCTCACTTTCTGATTAAAAAAAAAAAAAAAAAGAAACCCTATACTCCCTGCATCAAAATCAATCCAAGTGAGAGCAACCAGCCTTACCCATTGAGTTATCACTGTCAAATTCATTGATCAGAGTTACTCTCAGCTTTGCCCCTGGATAAGCTAGGGATTCGCATGAGGAGCAGCCCTGGCTCTCGCTGCCAGGTGGCCGAGGACACGTTTGCCCTGGGCTTTGCCAAGTCTGGAGCGGGCAGCGCAAACCCGCCTCTGGCTGGGCAGCGCTGGCACACGCAAAGGCGCCTGGCAAAGGCCCAAAGAGGCCAATAACCCAGACTCTGCAGAAGGACAGCATATAATAAATAAAGAAATAAACAAACACGACCATTGGACACTTGGTTTTGGTGAATGTAGAGAAAATAGAGACACTGCTAAACTTATCTACATTTTTTTCATCAATTTACAAAAAAAAGAATCGAGGAAGATGGTCAGTTACTTTAAGGTCAAGCACCAGAGCCCTAGCTAAACTAGCACCTTCAATTACCAAGAGTGAGTGAATTACTGAATAAAAATAATCATTGTAACACCAAAAAAAAAAAATGCTGGCTGGGGTGTACTTTCAATACATGACAGATGGGGAAGAAGGCTTTCATTTTTTAAAATAGGGTTTTGTAATCAGATTAAACAAAATTGTAACCATTTTGCTGCTGAATTGGATGCCTTGCTGCCTTTATTAGGGACCGTTTGTTCCAAGGGTCCTTATTGGAGCTGTAACACCCAGAGAATCTCCCTGGCTTTTGGGGAGGCAGATGCCAGCCCAGCCCGCAGTAAGGGTCTGTACTTACTGAAAACACCTACAGAGTCTCCAGGGATACCAAAACTTTCATATATTCAGAATGAAATAAGCTCTACCTTGTTTCGCAAGCAGTTTTAGCAGGCATGTTTTGCAGGCAGTTTTAGCAAACCCACAATACAAACTAAAGATATTCTTCACTTGCACTGTTTCAATTACGTAGGTTCCTTTTGCAATTGCCGTGTATTCAGATTTCCTGCAATCCCAAATTTATCTTATGCAACAGCAACAAAATTGTGCCCCAAGCAAATTCCAGTCCAACTGAAATCAATGAATTTTATTATTGACTTTGATAGAGCTTGAAATGGTCCTCAAACATCAAGTAGCTGCTGCCAAATTATAATTTTATGTTTGAATAATTATAGAGGGTACTTCCAAAGGCAGTAGGGGAGTTAGGTACTCGGTTGTTAATGATTTCAATAGTAGCTGGATTTTTCCCTCCCCTTCCTACTGCTGAAAATGTCCTTTACTCCAATAATTCTTTACTTTTCCACTGTTTTTTTTTTCCCTCAATAGCTCTCTATATAAAAAAAAAAACCCAAACTTTTGTGTTTTTAAATGAATGGCATAAATAAATATTTCCTCTGAATTTAGTATTTACCTAGCAGGCTGATCTCACGTATGGAATTTCCACTGGGGTCTACACAATCACTAGCAACCACTACAGGGTCATGTGCTACGTCTGGCCAGAGTCATATATTTTGCTGTTTTTAGATGAAAACAGCAGCAACACCAATTGTAAACGGAGAGTAAGGTATTAAGATTCCCCAAGAGTTACAACACATCTGGCATGGAACAGAGTAATGCAGTAGCAAAATGGCTCAAAGCGCAATAAAAGGAACATCCAGTATTTATTGAATAAGTTATCAATAATATTTCTAACGTATTTTTAAATCAAATCTTAAAATGGGGCAGGAAGGATGTTTCTTACTTATCACGGTGATGTTGGTTCTGAAATTATCCACCCTTAACAAGTGTGTGATTATCTTCCCAGCTGACATGTTTAGCACTAACTTACAATTTTGAAAGAAAAATGCATATGTTCTATAAAACTGTAAATTAAAAAAGGATGCTGGACTAAATAACACATATTGACTGTAAGGAAACTTCAAATTTAAATGAAGATACCACTCTTGAGGGCTTTTGGGGAATTCTTTTTTCCATGTTTTTCTAGCAAAATATTCAAGTAGTAAAACATATTTACAACTAAAATCTGTTACTGTAAAAGAAAAGCGCTGTCCTGTTCGAGGACTTAATTATTTTTCTATTCTTTTTTTCAACCTTCAGAATGTAAATATTAACTTTTGAAAGCCATTTTTTTTGTATAAACAAACAGTGGGTCAAAATGTGATTTCTAATCAGTACAAAAAGACCTTCAGCGACTGACCTTACTTCCGGAGTCCTTGGCTCCACATTCACCCTTATCGTACCACCATTTGTTTTTCAGCTTGTCTAAGATGCCTTGTTCACTGAGTTTCAATACTGCAAGGTTTACAGGAGTTCTTCACGTGGGAAATAACATAAATAACATTATATTATGTTATTTTATGTTATTCAAGCTTTAAACTACTTTAAAACTATACAAAGCGATAAAGCAGGGTTCCTGGCCACAAAGTATTTACACTGCAGGCAACTGGATCATCCCCTTAAGTTAATGCTAGAGCAACGCTATATTACCAGGTCCTGCCCATATCGCTTTGAGTAATCGGCACTCACTGTTAAATGAAGGCGGTAGAAACAACACAACTCCAATTTCCCCTTTTGCAGCCGTGCAGGCGGCTCACAGTAGCTTTATGGATTGGCAGCAGTTTGATCCAGCAGGACCCTGTATTGCACTAACAGACAGCAACCCCAGCACGAGCAGTTGCGGCGGCCTCGCGGGCTGCACCTTACACCAGCAGAGAAGGGCATTTACCAACCATCACCTCTTCTTCACTCTCACACCTTCAAGTGGTTCCTGCAACTTTTCAGTTGCACCGTAACGTGTTACAGCAGAACTGAACGTCCCTGGTACCCCCACCTTGCTCTGTGAGCAACACGCAGGCGGATGCTTTTTTTCCCTTAGAGTTGCTGCATCCTGAACAATGCAGGAACTAGGGAAATACAGCAGTAAATAAACCAATGAAGACCTTAATGAAAGAAGTGAACTTGGAAACTATGGGCTAAGCTGTGCAGCATGTGCAGTGTCAGCAAGAGGAAGGGAGCTGGTGACTCTGCTGCTGCTGCTAAGAGGCTGCAAGCCCAGGGCAGGTCTATGTCTGCCACATGCCCGTGGGCTCCTGGGGTAGGTTAGATTTACCCGGAACACGCAGCACAGTTTCGGCACGTGTCTCTGTGAGTTCAGCTCCTCTCCCCACCTCCTTGAGGCTGCGCAGGGCTGTGCAAGCCCTTGCACGAGCTGGGTGGTACCATGAGCTGCAGGGGCTGCTGCCACTGACCCCTTGCAAGTTCCTGATGTGTGAGGAGAGTTGGGGAAGTCTGGGGAGGCAGAGACCGGCTGGATGGTGGTGACACCCGTGTGGCCATTTCAACACCGCGCGCTCTCTGTCCCTTCCCGGTGGGAAAGCCGACATCCCGGAACCCGTCCCAGGCTACATGTACTGCGTCTGCCGCCCTGCACGTGCAAGCTGGGACCATGAGTGCTGCTCTGAGGCTCGCGAGCTGCAGGAGTGTCTGTGCCACAGATGGACAACGTGGTTTGTGGTACAGGCTAAGACAGCGTTTTGTTATTTCCAGTTCCTTTTTGTGTGACTTCATTTCCAACTTCGTAATCAACTGTTAACTTGTTTATGGGACTAAGAGTGTCCGGCTGTCCTTGGAATGGGTTCTCACCTGGGATGTGCTGGTGGTGTCTCACCTTGGCACCGTCACAGTAGGGTCTTGATTACAGTGCTGCAGTCTCATCTTGGTGCACAGCAGTGTGGGTTTCACCCTGGAATGATGGTGGGATCTCACCTTGGCAGTGTGGTGATGCTTTCATACCTTGGGAGTATCAATGGCAGGATCCCAGCTTGGCAGAGTGATGGTGGTGGTCTCACCTCGGCAGTGCTCACAGGCACTGCGGTGTCTGTTCTGCAGTGCAAATCAATGCCAGGCAAGCTGACAAGCTGGAAGGCTACTTTTTTAGCAATATTCCAGTATCTCAGTTTTTTTTTTTCTTTTTTTTTTTGCTGGCCGTTTTAGTCACCTGGGTTTACTTCAGTAGTGACACTTGGGTTCCACTTGACAGGATGCTCCTCTTCTTCATTGCTCCTGATGAGACAGGCTTTTTTCCCATTGAGATATAGGCTGTCAGCAAGCATACCTACAACTGCATTGTGTCATTAAGGACTCTCTAATTCCCACACGTATTTGTTTTAAGGACAACAATAACCATGTTTCAAAGGTTCCTGAGTTACCTAATGCAAAGGCTATAACTGGTGTGACCTGGTGTGGCCTTTAACTGTTTCACCAGGCAACACCAGCAGCCAGTGGAACACGACCCTGCGCAGGGGTTTTGCTCCTGGGAGCCGCCCAGGCACTGGCAGCAGCAGCTCCTGCTGCGGGAGGCTCTTGCTCCGCATCCCTTCCCATGCAGCTGCCGTGGGATGGGGCCCGGGGACCCGAGGGCGCTGCAAGAGGCTCTGCATTATTTAGGCTAGTGCAATGCAAGTCACTGAAAGCCGAGTGCCGTCACCCTCTGTCACAAGCCCCAGCAGAAACAGTGTTGTAGATTATTGCTTAGAGAACAGCTCCCTAATTTTAAAATTCATTTTAAAACTACCCAATTTGAGAGATTTTATGCAATACATCTCTCCACTTTGAAAAGCATTATGCAGCTGAGAATACACAAACAATAGGGAGAAGGTTATAAACACCTTTTCCGCTATCTGCATATTTTATTGTGCAATTTTTCCCCTCCCCTCAGTCCTATTCCAAAAACTATTTTTAATTTGCATGCCTTTATAAAACCCATATGGAGTACAAAGAATTTGCATAACATCCAATACATTATAGATTAGCTTTCACAACATTATACAGTATTGGGAAATGAGGAAGCTTAACATGCTAATTAGGGTGTTGGGTTTTTTTTAGCTAAGATTGTAGCTAATTGTGCACATGCAAGTGCCAAAAAAAAAAGTAAACTAAAATTATCTTAACTAAACAGATGGGAATTTGCCTAAACCAAGGTTTTCAATATAGTTTGTCAGGTCCCTTTTTTCCATGTGACCTGCTGAAATAACTACTTCTGTGCTTCAAAGCTGAGCAATGATTTGTTCTCATCCTCCTTGTCTATATAGTATGGAAAGCAGGGCAGGCCTGGGAATACGAGTTCAGAGGAGTCTGCCTTGTGCTCCGGGCCCACATCTCTCTTAGACAGCTGAGCCGTCATCGTGACGGCGTATTCATGAGCCATGGGAGTTGTAAGTAATTCTGCTAGTCATGGATACTGATTTTATGCAGATGTTATGAGATGGGCAGACCATATAATATGTGCATAAGGAGGGAATATGGGAGGAAAGTTTGAAATGAAGCGGTTTCTGGTGCAAGCGTTTGTCTTCCTCGGCACAAGCCTATTCCCAGTCCCAGTTGCTCTCTTCCCGTGCAGGCAGGCAGGGCCTTGGCCGCTCGCCTGGGGACATGCCTGGGTTCCCTGACTCTGCTGTTCTGCTGGCACGGCTTGGGCAGCCGGGATGAATAAACAGAGTGGACGTGGGTGAAGGGCTCTCCTAACGTGCTAGAAAAGGCTCTAATTTGTGCTTCACAGATGGAACACAAAATGCAGCTTGTTTGATCAAATTCCTAAGTAACAATTTTGTCTGCTTCTCAGAAATTAATTTGAGACCTCCTTACTATGCAAACTAGTCCCCCACGCAGTACAATTTTAGAAGCTGCATCCCTTCTGTACCTGCGAGAAGGTCAAATACTTCTGCTGGGCTGCTCCCACGGGCCCCACTTAAACACCTGACTGCGCCGAGGTGTGATTTGAACTTAGTTTAGGTCTGGTTTCTTCAGCTTTGGAATTCCCAGGCTAAGCAAATATATTGGAAAGGGAGACTGAGTGTCTGCTACATTTCAAGATCACTCGTCTCTGAACAGCTGCCTTGTTTGATTTAATAATCAGAATGAGCCACCCTTTGGCTGAGGAGCTTCTGGGGGTGCAAAAGGGCACTCCCAGACCTGGGCATTCTTCTGGCGGAGCGCTCTGCAGCGAACACATGCAGCATGCTCTGAATATCAGCTGAAGTGACTTGTCCACAGGAAGGCTGTGCCAGAGCCGGCTCCGAGCCGCCACGCCGGTGCCCGGGTCTGCAGGCCGCGACGGGGCCGCTCACAGCACAGTTCCTTCAGGTCCACTCTTACGGTCTCTTGTCTCTCTACTTTAAAGCCTTATTTCACCATTTTACTGGAATAATTTTGTGCTTTCCAGACGCTTTTTTAATTAGGTTACTTTACTGTTCTTGTGCTGTATGGAATATTCTATGAGGTCCTTTCCACTTTCCCTAGTGCTTTCGGCTATTTTTCCTCTGACTTTTAATTTATGATAGGATTCTTTTTCATCTTTCCCTCTGTGGCTTCCAGATCAGCTCTCTATTAGTTTTGTTGCTCTTATCAAAGTAAAATGTTCGGAGGTTTGAAGACTTGTGCTCTCCTGCTGATCTCTGTATTCCCAAGAACATGAGCTGAGGCAATTAGGATCAGGATGTCAACACCTGGTATGCTGCAGGTTGGTATTCTTGGCCCAAAACTTGCAGGATTTTTCTTCTTGACCATAAACAATTGTGTTTTTTTTTTTTCTTGTGATCCACATTTAGTAGGATCCACATTTAGTAGGATCCATATTTAGTAGCTGTGGCTAACCAGGATCAATCACATGGTGTTTGTCTGGTTGGGCAGCTTAACAAACCTCAACTATGTTTTCAATGGTTAATATCACCACATAACTTGAAGATTCAAATCTAGGGAAGGGGCTTGAATAACCTAATACTGACTAATGCTGTTACTATGGGCAAGTTAACCCATTTGCTGTGACTGATTTATTTAAGAATCGAATGACTCTAGGAAGGTTGGTACCAACCTATTATCACAGTCTTTATCAAAGTCTCCTGAAAACATTAGTTTACACTTGGGAAAGAGAAGCTTTTTAATTGATGTTTCAGCACATGCCTTTCTCTGTTCCTGTGTGGGAAGACCCCATGCTGGCCATATCACCTTTCCTTCTTTGGCTTCCAGTCACTGCAGTGCCAGCAGGGCTTCCTCCAAGCGCAGCCTGGCACGGCCTCGAGGGCTGGTTGCCCATTGCCCGGGCCGTGGCTTGCCCCAGAGTGTCACTCATGGGCCTTCCCTACCATCCCACAGTGTCACGCATGGGTCACCCCAGCCACCTCCACTGCCCGTCCATGCTGGCTGAACCCACGCAAAAGGATGGGGCTCACAGAGCAGAGCATTTCCAAAAATGCTGTGCATTCACTCATTAAAATCAAGCCCTTGAAACAAGTCTCCAAAGCTTCCAGATAAATCA